TTTTCAATTCAGTTACTGTATTCTTAAGCTCTGTGATTTCTGTTTGGTACATTTTTATATTTTCTATCTCTTCACTGAAATTATCATTTGGTTCATGCATTGCTCTCCTGACCTTCGTGAGCAATCTTTATGACCATTATATTGAATTCTTTTATTAGGTACATCACTTATCTCCATTTCATTAAGATCAGTTTCTGGAAATTTATCTTGCTCTTTTGTTTGGAACATAGTCCCGTGTTTCTACATTTTCCATGACTCCTTGTGTTGGTTTCTTTATATCAGATAAAACATTCTTCTACTTTATAATGCACTGTGAAAACTCTGAGAAAATGTCATTACCGGGCACCCTGGAACTGAGCACTTGTACAGGATGGAACATCTGTTGGCAGATCTCAGGAAACTGGAAGCAAAGATTTTTCTTAGGCTTAAGGTTCGTAGTCCTGATATTGCTCCTCAGAAGGCGTTACATAAGCCTCACTGTCAGGATCCAAGGGCATATCTTCCAGGATTCCTTCCTGGGGGGCTCCTTCTTCACTCGGGCTAATATGAAGGTGTCAGCAGGGCTGCACTTCTTTCTAGAGGTTCTAGAGTAGAAATCATTTCCTTGTGTGTTCCAGCTTCCTATGTTTGCCCACATTCCTTGGCATATGGCTTTTCACGGAAAGCCAGCAATGGCTGTTCCAGTCTTTCTCCAGTGTCATCACTTTACAGCAGACTATTTTATCTAGTAAAATAGACTGCTGTCACAGTCTTGTGTAGGAGATGAAGCTCATTAATTAGCCTAGCCTGACTTCCTGGTTGCCTCTTAAACGTCTGTGATTGTCCAACCTGCTGTCTTTGTTCACAGTTGCTCCCAGTAGTTGAGGGTATGTCATGACCTGTCAGTGTCCAAAAGGAGAGGATCACAGCACCTATACACAGGCTGATAAAAAGATAGACTGCCAGGCAACAGGTAAGGATGTATGTAGTCAAACTGCTTCCAAGGAGAAACTGGGAGATGTACGTTTTTATCTGCTCCCTCTGTGCTGAGCCTGGGTGTATAGCCACAGGGGGTGTTCCTGCACCCATTTAAAAACTGTTTGTTTCTTTACTATAATCATGTGGAACTTGTAAATGCAAGTCCCATAAGCTATCACAGCTGGGTGATGGGGGCCTGTCCCTTGGGTGGCAGTTATAAAAGCTGGACTGCTAGATGTGTGGACAAGCTCCTTCCTGGGAGATACTTGCAAGCTGGACTTATTGTTGGAGTAAAGTTTGGGGGAGAAGGTGAGGAAAGTACCCATCAGCCCTTCTGGGGTCCGGAAGATCAGTCAACACCTGGATGGTGGTAATTAAAAGCCAGACCCTCAGCCAACAGCTTGTGAGGTATGTAGTCAAACTCCTTCCAGAGAAAGACTGGGAGATGGGCATTTTTGCCTGCTCCCTCTGCACTGAAAAGTGGGTGCTAACCACAAATACCTACATGCCCATTAACATATGCTTCTTTGTTTGCTATAGTCCCATAGGACTTATGAATGCAAGATGTACTAGCTATCAGAGCTATGAGATTTAGGGCATATCCCTCCCTCGCATGGCAGCCATAAAGGTTGGGACACTAGATGTCTGTGCAAGGGAGATGCTGGCGACCTGGTTTTATTGTTGGAGTGAACCAGAAGGAGAAGGTTGGAGGTGTGTCCACTGACTCCCCCAGGGTCTGGGGAGGATCACAGCCAGTATACCCAGATGCATGCCAATTAGAAGCTAGACCTTCAGGCAGCAGCTTGTAAAGTATGTAGTCAACCTCCTTCAGAGAAAGACTGGGAGACAGGCATTTTTTCCTGTTCCCTCTATGTTGAGCCCTATGGGGACAGCCATGATGAATGCTTGTGCTCACGCTATGCTCCCATTAAGAACTGCTTCTTTCTTTGCTACAGTCCTGTGGGACTCATGAATGCAAGCCCAGATGGCTTTCGGAGGTAGATGTTTTAGGAGCCCACTCCTCAGGTGGGAGTCTTTAAAGCCAGGGCACTAAATATGTGGTCCAAAGCCTTCAATCCGCAGGGAGAAGCTGGGACTTGGGGGTTCCCTCCTGACTATATGGCACTGGGCTGGGGGTGGGGTTTATGGCAAGAATGTGTCTCATTCTTTTCTACCTGTTTCAATGTGGGTATTTTCTCATTTGCCCAATGTGTAGGAGTCACTCAGCTAGCTCCTGGATTTTTTTCTCAGAGGGAATTGCTCCATGTGTAGCTGTACATTCAATGCATCTGTGTGAGGAAGGAAATTCAGAAGCCTGCTATGTCACTATCTTGGTCCCAGTCCGTACTGAGGTTTTGAATGTTTCTCTTCATTCTTTTTTTTTTTTTTTAATTTTATTTATTTATTTTTGGCTGCACTGGGTCTTCCTTGCTACACGCAGGCTTTCTCTACTTGCAGCAAGTGGCAGCTACTCTCCGTTGCAGTGCACAGGCTTCTCATTGCAGTGGCTTCTCTTGTTGCGGAGCATGGGCTCTAGGCACGCAGGCTTCAGTAGTTGCAGCACGTGGCTTCACTAGTTGTGGCTTGCCGGCTCTAGAGCACAGGCTCAGTAGTTGTGGCACACAGGCTTAGTTGCTCCATGGCATGTGGGATCTTCCTGGACCAGGGATCAAACCCATGTCCCCTGCATTGGCAGGTGGATTCTTAACCACTGTGCCACCAGGGAAGTCATGTCTTCACTCTTTTCAGTTGAGAATTCTATTTCAGTCTGTTTTTTTAAAGTTGATAATATTTCATTATTTGGTATAGAGTAATATTTACATTATGATCCATTTAAGTCATAGAATTTGACCCAGGGTTTCTTCCTCTGAGATACTGCCAATACAATAATAATGTATTTCCATGCATTTATTTCTGTAAATAAATCATACCTAGACATTTTTCTATAGGGAGAATAAGGTAATGTCAGCTACTCACTCAAAAAAAACTTACAAAAACCACAATGAAATATCACCACAAACCTATTAGAACAATTAAAATAAAAAATAGTGACAATAGTTAATGCTATTGAGGCTGCAGAGAAGCTGAATCTCTCAAAACCTGCTGCTAAGAATCTGAGAAAAATAGCCTGGCAGTTTCTTGCAAAATTAAATATGCACTAACCACATAACCCAGCAATCGTACTCTTGGGCATTTATCCTAAAAAATGAAACCCTATGTTCACACAAAACTTGTACACAGACGTTTATAACAGCTTTATTCCTAAAAGCAAAATACTGCAAACAAACCAAATGTCCTTCAGTGGGGTAAAGTTGAACAAACACTGTACATCCATACGATAGAATACTACTCAGCCATAAAAAGATATGCAACATCCTCTGTTGACCTCAAGAGCATTAAATATAGTGAAAAAAGTCAACCTCTTCATCTTCCTCTGTGTGACACATATTTAAACTATAATTAATCAATTATCTCTACAGGGTCTATTTCAGTCTACGAACATTTTTGCTACTGTGAATTAGTCTCTCAAGGATCCTCTCAAGGTGCTGACACAAATGAATCTATGGACTTTTCACAAGGGATGGGTGATGAGCTGCACAACCTAAGAAAGCTTTTCCTTGGTATACAACTTTATTAATAATATTTCTTAAATTTGACTGCATTTGATTAGTAAAAATGATTTCCGCACTTTAGCATATATTCCTTTCAGTATTTTCAATCTGTAATCTAGATTCTCTGAGTGCTTTGATAGGAATAGTGTCAAAAGTTCCAGCAAAGTTCTTATGCTTTTCGCATCACACCAAAAGTTTAGCAAAAACTTGGCATTTTTCCACATGAAATTTTTTTAAGGTTTTAAAATTTGAAATTTTAATTTTTTATAATTATAAGCATACTTTTTTTTTAACCAATGTATATCTTTAATTTTGCTGCAAAAGCCCCTTGGAATATAAAATTTACTTAATTTTTACAGAAGATTTTGAAGGACTGCTATTTCATTTATTAATAGATTCCCCTTTAATGTCATTGTAATATTAAAAACTGAAATGATAGGAACACTTAAAAGGGCCCATCCTTATATTCCACAAGTAGGTACTACTTCAACCATGTCATCAACTCTGTCCCCTGCGTTTCACACAGTTCTTAGTCCCAATCAACTCAACGAATAACCTTCTTCAGGGCAGTAAATCTTAACCCATTTCTTTAAGGCGGATTTACCAGATGCCTACCTAAGGGGCGAACAATATCAACTTTATTCTTCACCTTTTCCCTCCCTTGCTGTTCTCACACATAACAACATACACACAACAACTATGTTCTGCATTCGACTAAAGAGCTTAATAATTGAGACCAAAAGAAGGAAAACAAAGAAACTGCACAACCAATACCCACTTACCAGGGCTTCCCTGGTGGTGCAGTGGTTGAGAATCCGCCTGCCATTGCAGGGGACATGGGTTTGAGACCAGGTACGGGAAGATCCCACATGCTGCGGACCAACTAAGCCTGTGCACCACAACTACTGAGCCTGCGCTCTAGAACCCACAAGCCACAACTACTGAGCTCGCGTTTCACAACTACTGAAGCCCACATGCCTAGAGCCCATGCTCCGCAACAAGAGAAACCACTGTAATGAGAAGCCTGCGCACCAGAACTAAGAGTAGACCCACTCGCCACAACTAGAGAAAGCCCCCGTGCAGCAACAAAGACCCAACACAGCCAAAAATAAAATTAAGTAATTAATTTAAAAATACCCACTTATCAGTAAAATAACTCCAAAATACCACTGAAATTAAAGAATAATTATAGAGATTAAGTAATTAAATAGATCTTAGGATAGAAGTGGTAATAGGAGAGACAAAAGGTAGCAGACAGTAGATTCATGAAAGAAAAAGCAGTGAGCAGAAGATACACAGGGAAGGCAGTGGCTTTCTTTTGTTATATGCCTGTTACATATTGAATTTTCTCCTCAAAACTTAAAAAGGAACACAAAACATGCAAACACATAAAAATCAATAATTGCAAAGACAATGACAGAAATTTCATACTTGTATGGTGACGGCCAAGTACTGGGATCCTGAAGCACCACTCCAAGGGCATAAAGGACAAGGGTCTGCAAAAAAAAATTACTCTAGTTATTCAAGGTCTAACAGAGACAAAATGATGGCCAGAAAGCCAACTTATCTAAATGCTCTTTTAATATAGATAGTGAATACAAAATAAAAAATAAAATAATAGAAGAAAACACAGACCATTATTTTGGTGATCTCACAGTGGGAAGGATGAGCATGTCACAAAATATCGAAGCCATAAAGGAATAACAAACTTCACTACATGAAAATTTAAAACCCATATCCAGTAAAAATAAAACAAAAAACACACCATAAAACAAGTAGAAGATAAATAACAGACAGGAAAAAAAACCTGCCATATAAGTGACAGAATTAATATGTATAATATACAAAAAGACATATAAACTCACTAGAAAGAAGTTAAAGGAAATACAAACTGTTAGTATATACATGAAAAGCTGTTCAATCTCTCCAATGATCAGGGGAAAGCAAATTAAGAGACAATTTTTCATATAAGATTCATAAATCCAGATGTGGTAAGAATATGGAAAGGAAAAACATTCTCATACACTGTTGCTCAAAGTATAAATTGCCTTTCAGAGGGCAATTTAAATTTTACACACATGTGCTGTTTGGCCCCCAAACTCCTTTTCTAAGGCTCTCCCAATACCAGTACAAGTATACAATTTGTAATAATGAAAAAAATTAACATCAATCTAAATTTCCATCAATGGGCACTGCTTAAATAAATTATGGTACATTCATACAATGCAATACTATGCATCCATTAAAAATAATGAGTTGGATCCATAGTAAGTGCCAGTTGTATCAATTGCCATGGTACACTCAATAAAAGAAAATTAAAGAATATATAGGATACTCTTTCACATATGAATTTGGTTTTTAAAATGCATACATATACATGTATATACACACACAGAGTAATACATATATACAGAAAAAGACCTACAAAATAAACACTAAACTATTCACAGTAGTACGTGTGGAGAAAGGAGCCTTTCTTTTATTTTTTTTTTTTTTTGCAGTACGCGGGCCTCTCACTATTGCGGCCTCTCCCATTGCGGAGCACAGGCTCCAGACGCGCAGGCTCAGCCGCCATGCCTCACGGGCCCAGCCGCTCTGCGGCATGTGGGATCTTCCCGGACCGGGACACGAACCGGTGTCCCCTGCATCGGCAGGCGGACTCTCAACCACTGCGCCACCAGGGAAGCCCGGAGCCTTTCTTTGATATTGTTTGAACTTTAAAACAAGCACATATTGTCATTTAAACACTTGTCTTTGATTTAACAATAGGCAACATTTATTGGACACTTTAAACAATAAAATTTAAAAACACACACTAACAGAGCTGAAAAGAATAACTGAATGGGTTAAGTATACCAAATGTTTCCTACCTCCCTAGGAATGATAAATTTGTCAATCTTTCCTTCAATATCTTGAAGCCGGGCAGAAACTGGGGTCAGTCTGGCAGTCCGAATAGTTTCACAAAGTACTTGCCGACAATACCTGTTTAAAAAAATTATTTTTTGAAGATCTTTATTTTGGGAGAGGCAGTTTGAAATGTATATACATTTTAAAGTGTCATTCAACAATTTTCATAACCTTCCTAATTTGAAATAGTCATATCATAATTCTTATTTGCTTAAAATACTTTATATATTAGAGGTATATAAAGTCCAGGTGAGTAAGGATTTAAACAAATAAAAACAACTTTAAAAGTACCAGAAGAAAACTCGAAACAATATTTTTAAAATTTTTGAGTAGAAACGTCTTTTTTTTTTTTTTCTTTGCGGTACGTGGGCCTCTCACTGTTGTGGCCTCTCCCGTTGTGGAGCACAGGCTCCGGATGCGCAGGCTCAGCAGCCATGGCTCACAGTCCTAGCCGCTCCGCGGCATGTGGGATCCTCCTGGACCAGGGCACGAACCTGTGACCCCTACATTGGCAGGTGGACTCTCAACCACTGTGCCACCAGGGAAGCCCCCAACGTCTTTTACTTTTAATAAAGGATTTAATAAAAATTTTAATAAAAGACTTTTCTACTTAAAAATTATAAAAATACTGAAACAATGAAGGATACCATAAAGAAAAACACAAATATTGAATGATATGACTATGGAAGTTTTTTTTTCATACTTGCAATCATCATAAAATTAAAAGCTAAGTAGGAAAAATATTTACAGTAAATATATCCTTAATGCATCAAAGCTCTTTAAAAATTCATAATTAAAATGATCAAATACCCCAATAGAAATATGGACAGAAAATATAAAAAAGCAAACCACAAAAACAAAGAAAAAATGCAAATGGCCTGGAAACCTAAGAAATGATACTCAACCTCATTAACAATGGAAAGATTGCCAATCAAAGCGAATTTTTTTACCTGCCAGATTAGCAAAGATGAACAAGAGTACTGTCACAGACAAACACTAACAAAAAATAAGGAAAAGGACATTCATATTCAGTTGGTGAAAGTATAAATTGGTACAACCTTTCTGAAGGATAACTTGGCAATATATATGAAAATATGAAGTGTGCCTCCCAATGAGAATAAAAGCTAAAATGTATTGAAATCTTGCTATGAGCCAGTTCTGTTAAATACTTTCTGTGCAGTATCTCATTTAATCCTTATAAGAAACTCATGGATGCTATTATTTTTTAATTTTACAGATTTTAAAAATGAGGCAATTTTTAAAAGTGCACAGCAGGTAAGTGGTATTGGTAGGATTCAAACCCAAGTCTGTTACTCCATAGCCCCTAATCGTAAACACTACACTACTGCATATACTCTTAAATAATAATCTTATACAATGCAATACTATGCATCCATTAAAAATAACGAGTTGGATCCATAGTAAATGCCAGTTGAACCTTATTAATAGAAACAATCAGAAGTATCAGCAAAGACGTAAGCATAGGAATGCTGATTTTTGTAATTTCTAAAAGCAACAAAAAAAAGAGGAAACATCCTTTCCTCTTTGAACAAATATTTTTTGGGTACCTACTACATTAGAAGCACTGCATTAGATATTGAGCTACAACAGTGAACAAGACAGATACCCACGAAGAATTTCAAAGTCTACTTGGCAGGGGAAGGGACGGAGGAAGGGACATCAAGAATGAACAATTAAAAAGGCACAGTATATTAAAAACGTAAATACAAAGAAAAAAAAGGCACAGTATAAAATAAATGTAGTTTATCATATGTAAATTATACTTCAATAAAGTTGATTAAAAAGATGGATGGCAAAGAAGTCAATGCCAGATCTCCTCAGCTTAGTTTAACATAGCTGTTCTGCACAACCAGTTGAGTGTATTCCTAGAAACACGGCTTCTTATTTAGGGTGCTATAGTCAGGAAGGCTTTGAAATTACTAGTGGAGCTGCTCCATTCCAGAAATTTCTCTGATTGTTCTTTTTATTGACATCTGTTCTGGTTTCAGTGAATACAATAGCTCACAATTTATCTGATGATATTAATTGGAATTTTATAATAGTTCTCTCCAGCCTCTCTTTAACGTCTATTTCCTCTGTGGCCATAAAGTAAAAGAAATTTAAAAAAAAAGGCCACAGTAACTGTTATGATAAAGGAAGTTCAGGGTGTTAGGGGACACATGGCAAGAGCACCTAACTAGAGAAAGGACTTTGCGGAGAAATAAACACTTAGGCTGAGACCTGCAGAAAAAACTGGAGTTAGCTAGAGGAGGGAGGAAGAGAGAATCTTGACAAAAACCAGCAGATAAAAAAGAGTGCTTTACATTTGAAGAAACAAAAGAATTTCAGTACAGCTGAATCCAAGGGTATGAAGAGACACAAGTAATGAGATAAGGTGGGAGAGGAATGCAAGGCCTAGCTCCTGAAATGCCTTATAAGCTAAGCTGATGAGTTTAAATTTTATCTTAAGGGCAACCAGAAGTCACTGAAGGATGTTAAGTCTGGGAGTCTGATCAGATATGACTCCCCAGATATAGAAAGATGACTAGCACAGTGATTCTCAACTCTGGCTACACATTAGAATCACCTGAGAAGCTTCTGAAATTTTCTGATGCCAAGAGATTGTTGGTTTGGGATTGGTCACAGGTTATGTGTATTTTTAAAGTAGCTGAAGCGATTACAGTGTACAGTCACAGGCTCCAACAGCAATCTGGAGAATGCATAGGAGGGAAGCAAATCCAAGGCTGTTGAAATATCCCAGACAAGTTGATGGTGCTCTAGGCAGTGGGGGCAATGGAAAGAACTAAAACTAAACTTCCAACTAAATGTTATTTGGAAAGTAAAATCAACAGAACTTAGTCACTGATTGGATGTGGAGTTACTACATATAGGAACGCTGTCCACAGCACATTTAGAGAAAAAATGGAATTTACAGAAGAGTTACATGTTTTGTATTTTTAAATGGTTTTAATTTTTTTGTGTTAAATACATATGTATATATGCATAGAAAAAGTCTGGAAAAACAATACAGATAGTTAACAATTATTATCTCTTTTACAAAGGACACTGACCTTCCACTTCATACACTTCTGTATTATAAAAACTTCAAAAAACAAGTACGTGGGAGGGAGGGAGATGTAAAGAGGGAAGAGATATGGGGATATATGTTTGGCTGATTCACTCTGTTATAAAGCAGAAACTAACACACCATTGTAAAGCAATTATACTCCAATAAATATGTAAAACATTTAAAAATAAAAAATAAATTAAAAAAAACAAGTATGTATTACTTTTAAAATTGTAATAAAGCTTTCTACATTTTAAAGAATTGGTAACAAAAGTCTCCCTGTGAAACCCACAGCTTCGAGTTCTTTCCAGTGTCTGTATCCCTATCTTCTTTTCTATAGTTGAAAGATGATCCAAGGTAAGGGTGCTTGCTACCCAGTCTCAGACTTCCAACCCCCTAAGAAGTCACAGCTGTTATTTTTTAAAATCTTATTAATTAAGGTATCACTTACATATAAAAAAAAGTATCTAGGGGCTTCCCTGGTGGCACAGTGGTTGAGAGTCCGCTTGCCGATGCAGGGGACACGGGTTTGTGTCCCGGTCCGGGAAGATCCCACACGCTGAGGAGCGGCTAGGCCCGTGAGCCGTGGCCGCTGAGCCTGCGCGTCCGGAGCCTGTGCTCCGCAATGGGAGAGGCCATAACAGTGAGAGGCCCGTGTACCGTAAAAAAAAAAAGTATCTATTTTACCTGTACAGTTTGATGAATTTTAGTAATTGTATATAATTGTGTGAACACAACCACAAGAAAGATACAGAGCATTTCCCTCACCCTAAAAAACTTTCCTCATGCTCCTTTGTAATTGATTCCCTCCCCATTTCTGGCCCCAGACAACCACTGATCTACTTTCTATCACAATAGTTTTGCTTTTTCTAGAATTTCACCTAAATGAAACGTATTATAGGCAGTTTTTGTGTTTAATTTTTTTTTTTACTTAGCATAAAGAGATTTATCCGTGTTGTTGTGTGTATTGATATTGTGTTACTTTTCATTACTTGGTAACATTTCCTTGTATAGATATAACACAATTTATCTATTTACCAGTTGATGAACATTTGGACTACTTCCAGTTTTTGCTATCATAAATAGTATTACTATAAATGTTTGCATACAGGTCTCTGTGTGACATGTTTTCATTTCTCTCGGGTAAATGCCTAGGAGAACTGCTGAGTCACATGGTATGTTTAACTTCATAAGATCCTGCCACATCGTTTTCTAACAGAACTGTACCACTCTGCATTTGTACCAACAAAAGGTGTGGATGTTCCACTTATTAGATATCACTGATACTATTTTATACAGGCTCATGTAAAGGTTTCCCAAAAGTACCTTAAGATTTTAAAAAGCAAGTTAAGTTATCCATAGCTTTCCTAGATATTAGCATTAGCTTTAAATTAGATAAACCAACTCAAATTTATCCTTTAATGATCTCCTCTTTCCTCTTATTGTGCTCTTACCTGAGCTCCTCAATGTTCTCTGGAGTTACAGGTCCCTTCCCAAAAACTTGGTCTATCTCTTCATATAGTTTTTTCTGAACTTCTTCATAGGTGGTTAAAAAACAGACTGCCCAGGTACACACTAAGTGAAAATTTATATTAATAACAATGAAAGCAGCTAATTCATAGTTTGGGTGCAGAATAAGAAACAAATTTATTATTTTTTGGTATTTTCCTTTTTTTCTGATACAAAAGATACATAAATGCTACCAAAAGATAAAACAAGACTGTTCACAAGATTTGTACTTCATTGAACAGAACATGAATATTTACAGAATATTCCCAAAAAGAGATAGTGAAATCTAGATTTCTTTCTTAAAACTGGCAAGTAATCAAAGGCACTTAATACATTTTACCTTAGATAAAATAGTAATGATAATAAATAAACTTCACATCTGGGGAAGTGTTAAATGTTGATAACTGTGATGAACCGTTGGGTTCAACTGACCTTGTAAAATCAAAAATCTGATTTATCTGGGCTTCCCTGGTGGCGCAGTGGTTGGGAGTCTGCCTGCAGATGCAGGGGACACGGGTTCGTGCCCCGGTTCGGGAAGATCCCACAAGCCACGGAGCAGCTGGGCCCGTAAGCCATGGCCGATGGGCCTGCGCGTCCGGAGCCTGTGCTGATGGCAAACCAGGGGAGGGACCCCGCCCCAAAAAAAAAAAAAAAAAAAAAAAAAAAAAAAAATTGATTTATCAATTTCCTCAGGAGCTTTAATTAAATGATTCATACAAATCAAAGTAGCAGGAGATTTACCTACAAATCATCACTCTAAATTTTTACTTGTAAAGGTAGATACACTGGTTCAAGAACTGAGACTGATTATTGCTTAGGACAGTGGTTCTCAGAACTCTTCTGGGAGGTTGCTGATGGCACAACCCCACCGTCCACAGATCCTGACTCAGTAGGTTTAGGGTGTGGTCCAGGGATCTATATTTCTAACAAATATCACAATTATTTTGATGAACACCAACACTGGAAGATCACTAGCTTATGGCTTCTTTTGCTTAAAATAGCTATGGATTACAGTCACTGGGGAAATCAAAAGGTAAGAAAATTAGTTACGTGATGAACGTAAAACAGAGGAAACAGTAGTTATATTCCCTTTAGGAATCCACTGGGATTACAACTGTTCAAATGGAACCATCCAGACACATAATATCTCTTTCCCTAGACTATGCTTGATATGACTCTATGTACAGCTCTACTTTTTCTACGTCAAATACTTCTTAAAATGCATTTAATAATTTCTACTTCTGCTTATTAATTACCTCTTTCCTGAGCTAAAGGGCTGGCTTAAATTTATCTCAAAGTTAATTTTTTTAAATGTTCGCCTAAGTCACTTATCATCCAATTCCAATGCCTGGAAAATACATAATTCACTTTCTGCACTAAATATTATCAATAAAATCAACAGCTACCTCATGCTCAATTATTTTGATAATTTACTCACACCCAGAGTTCATAAAACACATAGGAGTAGCGGACCTTAACTTTTTCCTACATATGTTTCTTTATTATGGCTTTTGAGTGAACTGCAGAATTTCTATTTCACAAGTGATATGAAAACTTACATGGACAGTGTACAATATGTACATGTATGCAATTTTACAACAATATGTAGTAATATATAATATTGAAAGATTTAGCACAAGTATTTGCATACAGTAGGCACTCATATACACTGATTGACTAGATTATCACTTAAAATTAATTTAAATGTATACGTTTAATAACCTCAAACATTAGTTCTTTTGTACAACTCTATTAAAGAGTATGACAGAGGGGATAGCTTTAAAATGGGATTTTAAGCCACTTAATATTCTTTAATTATACTATTGAATCAAGACACCATTTTATAGTTGAAAGATACCTTGGAGGTCACCCTTATTTTAGAAAAGGAAAGAAATGCAGAGTTCAGTATCTTGCTCTAGGCTAAGACTTGCTAAGTCGCAGAGGAGGGACTTTAATTAAGGTTTCCTGCCGATCTTGACTCTCAAAATTTCAGAGGTGCCTTAAAAAATAACCAACCCACATGCAAATAGCAATACTATGAAAATTCCCCCTAAAAACTGCAAAAAAGATTAAAATATTAAATCAACCTTGGAAATGGTCACTTTTTATGGTATCCAGAGTATAAATGATTCAGATTTTTTGAAGGTCTTCAGCAAAGATATATTTTAATGTGATAAATTTTTAAACAAGTATTTAAAAGGTTTGATACATTATTTTTGACACATGCTTACCTAAATTCCATTTAATCTATAATATCTGGACATGTCTAGATATCAAAAATTTTACAAAGAAGAAATACAGGAAGTTTACATTTATACTCATCCTTTTTAAAATTTTCTTAAACAGAAAGAGTTGTGAGTGAAATCCTTCAAGTTAACATAAATTCTTTAGATTTTAAACTGATGTTTAGCATTTTATGTCAGTATATTTTTATGGATATACAAATTTTTACAAATACTGTATAAACAAATGTTAGTCTGATAAACTAAAAACCAGTAAGGAAACTAGAAATATATCACCCATTTTAGAATTTTAAATAATAATCACCTTCAATTCCACCAAGAGAAGAGTTCTTTTTAAATCATGATTTCTGTGGCCTATATCCTCTGCTGGTAGGTCTTAATAATAGCAGACTAGATTGAAGACAAAGTGAAAAGCCACAGCAGGAAATTGAAAAGCTCACAGCTCTGGCTAGAAAGGTGTCAATAGCAGTTCATTTTAAAGGCACTAACTAGAATTCACAATCCATAAACTGTGTCAAGAAATTTATGGCAATGTTCAGAGGTGGGACAGAGCATCTGGGGTTTAAAAAAAAAAAGGTGCCTGTGTGAATCAAGCCTTTCAAACAAGAATAAAAAAAGAAGAACGAAGGGAAATTATAAAGAGGTCTTGCAAACAGTGTTTCCTTTATTTTAGAATAGCTTTCTCCTTGTATATTTTATAACCTATCTCAAACAGAAATCAATTTATACTTACATTTTGCAGTTATTATGCAACTGGCCAGAGAAAATATCATACTGTCTTCTAGGATCTAGGAAACAAAACTAAGTTTAGAAAGTGTGAAATGTAAGGTGGCCTATATTAGGCCCTAGTAAAATCACCTAGAATACAAAATGGGAGTTAAGGAAAGGGAAAACATGTTATTTCTTTATGAGGTTTTCACTTAAAGAAAATCTATATAATGAAAAAACCAACCGAAACACTGCACTGCATTTTTGATACAGTGAACACTTACCCAGTAATATTACTGGCTCATGATACATCAAACAAACTGGTTCAGTGCTATCGTTCTAGCTTGGCCTAGAGCAGAACGAAGACTCAGGAACAGTGAAGAGCCTGCCACTGTCCTGGATCCTGATATAATTTCTGCACCCACACACATCCAGAAAACCGCTTTTGTCTATGAGCACTTGCATGCATAGAGTAGGGCAGAAGATTCCTACATTGAACAGGTAGGTGTGCCAGTAACAGCTCCACTCCTGTCCTTTGCCTGACAACACCACAAACACACAATATCCCAGTGGTGTGCTGGGGTGACAGACACACTGGGAACAAGCCAAGCTGCCACACCTGGTAATGTAGGCAGAGCAGCTTAGTCAGTACAGGCTTATCCAAGTCCTCCTCTTTTACAGTCAGAGAACTTTGGTTCGATATTTGCTTACTCAAATATTAAATACCATATAGCTGCTTCAAAGAACTAAATAACAGGAGACTAAATACTAAATACTATTTCTGGATGATGTACAATAAAAAAGAAAAAAGAGGCTTCCCTGGTGGCGCAGTGGTTGAGAGTCCGCCTGCTGATGCAGGGGACACGGGTTCGTGCCCCGGTCCGGGAAGATCCCACATGCTGTGGAGCGGCTGGGCCTGTGAGCCATGGCTGCTGAGCCTGCACATCCGGAGCCTGTGCTCCACAATGGGAGAGGCCACAACAGTGAGAGGCCCGTGTACCACAAAAAAAAAAAAAAGAAAAAAGCCATTGAATTCTAGGAGGGCGTCTGGGTTAATTAAAGTGGATAAAAAGCACACTCTATACATGTCTGATTATCTTTTGTTTGATAAACATTTAACAATTACATCACCTGTTGGTCATTAAGGTCCCCCTGTACTAAGGAGTCAATGAAAATATGTTCACTGAAGTTCCTTCCTTTTCGTTCTTTTATGATTTTCTTTAAAATAGATTCCAGTTGCATAAGGGCTTAGAAAAGAAAAACAAGAAAAGATTTTAGAATAGAAGCATTTGTGAGGATTGAACATTTTTCTGTATCTCTACAATGTTCCTATGTGCAGAATAAAACTTTCTAAGTTAAAAGTAGTAACCAATAATGCTTTTAAAGCAAATTTATGTTTAAACTCATCTACTTACTTTTCTTCTTTTTGCTAAATTTAACACATACACCAGAAAGTGCATAAAACATACACGCACAATTTAACAAACAACTGTAAATCAAACACCCCGGTCGAGAAATAGAACAATGCTAGCCCCTTAGAGGCCTTTTACACATATATCCCTCCCCTGGTATTATTCACCTTCCTTCTAAATTCCGTCCTCTTAACTCCATTGTTCTCCCAAATCAGGCATCACTCATTTAGAGACTGAAACAGATGTGAAATAATCAGAAAAGTACATTTCTGGCATTTGGAAGATTAATCCAACTATCAAGAAAATTATCCACAGATTTCTCAGGCCCCATCTTACTTGACCTATCATAGCATCTGATGCTGGTCACTTACTTTGTAGGAAGCACTTTTTCATTTGGCTCCTAGGATTCCACACTCTCCTGGACTCCACACTTTCCTCCCACTTCACTGCCAGCTCATTCTCAGTATCCTTTGTCGATTCCTTCTCACCTCTCAAATTTCTTAATGACGGAATGCCCAAGGTCAGGGATCTCTTTTCTTGGACCTCTCCTCTTTTTCTATTTATATTCATTACCTTGGTGATCACCATTCTCAAAGCTTTAAATACAATCTATGTACTGAACACTTCCAAATTTGTATTTCCATTTAGGATCTCTTTCCCCTGAACTTCAGTTTCATATAACTGACAATCAACTCAACATCTCCACTTCGACGTCTGAAGCATACTAAACATAAACATATCCAAAACTGAAGTCGTGATCTTTTGCCTCAAAACTGGATCTTTCTACAGTCTGCCCCATCTTATTTCCTATTAACTTCATTTTCCAACTACTCAGGCCTAAAACTCTGGTGTCTCCTTCTCTCTTATACCCCATATCTAATCTGGCAGTCAATGTTGGTGGCTCTAACCTTCAAAATACAGAATTAATCTCTCTTACTTTTTAAAAAAATTTTATATTTTCTGCTACCTGTCACCTAGTCCAAGCCAAATTATTTTTCTTGCCTGGTTCATTGCAGTAGCCCCCTAATTAGTCTCCCTGCTTCTGCTCTGAGCCCCTTTATGACAGCAGCCAGAGTAATCCTTTAAAAATATAACTCAGATTCATAATTCTGCTCAAAATCTTCCAGTAGCTTCTTCCTATCTCATAGTAGCAACCTAGTCATACCTAAGCCAGACAAAATCTGTTCCATCCCCCCAATCTTTCCGGTCTCATTTCCTTCTATTTTTTTTCTGACTCATTTCACTCCAGGCATACAGCTCCCTGATGTACCTCAAATATATCAGGAAGAATCCTACCTCAAGGATTTTGCAACTACTTGTGGATATACACATGATCTGCATGGACTGGTTTCCTTATCTCTTGCAAGTGTTTGCTCAAGTCACCTAATCTTGGTGAGGCCTTTCCTAATAATCTCCCCACCCCTAGCACTTCCTATCCCCCTTCCTGATTTAATTTTCTCCGTAGCAACTTTCATCTTTTAACACACTATTCAGTTTACTTATTCAGATTCTCATCTCCCTCTTCCCACTAGAACGTGGTGCCTCAAGGGGAGGAATTGTTGTTTGTTTTGTTCACTGACACCTCCCCAGGACAAAAAACATACCAGGATATTCTAGATCTTCATTATTTATAGAATTGAAGGAGTCTAATAACACATTAGTGATTAAAATGAGAAATTGTTAACACTGTACTGCAATGGTTCACAAACTTTGCTTACATTACAATCACCTAGGAAGCTTTTTAAAAAAATATATCATAAAATATAAACCACACCTTGTACCAATTAAATCTGAATGTTCAGGAGCGAAAGCCAATCTTCAAAAAAGTTTAAAAGATTCAATGTGTAGCAAAGTTTGGGAACTACTGCTGTACATTCTCAACCCTACAAGTACATGAGGATAATCTGGAGAGCTTTTATTAAAAAAAAAAAAAAAAAAAAAAAAAGATCTGACATCCAAAGCACCTCTATCCCATATTCTGAATAAACTGATTTAGCGTGGGGCCTGATCTTCAATATTTTTTGCTTTGTTCTAAGTTCCCAAAGTGATTCTAATGTACAGACCAGGTTGAGAACTACTCACTTAAACAGAAGAAGTAGTGACCCAGCCATGAGTTTCCACTCACATAAATACCAAAACATAATCATTTTCAATAAAAGCTCAAATCTGATCTATGCCCATGTTACAGTTCAAGGAGCATATCATACTAGACAATCTACTTTTATTTAGAATCAAAGAATATAAATTATTAATTTTCCTTTTATATAAATTAAAACCAATGTTTGTAAAATACATTTTTTATTAAGGGTAATTAATCCAAATGCATCCATCAAGATAGTTAGAATGGTAGACTAGCAGATAGCAGAAAATGTGTCCATTAAATTGGCTTTTCTAGACTTACGCTGGACACTGAAGGAATCACCAGAATGGTAAACCCCAAGAGGACAGGGATTTTTTTTGTGTGTGTGTGTGGTACATGGGCCTCTCACTGTTGTGGCCTCTCCCGTTGCAGAGCACAGGCTCCGGACGCGAAGGCTCAGCGGCCATGGCTCACGGGCCCAGCTGCTCCACAGCATGTGGGATCTTCCCGGACCGGGGCACGAACCCGTGTCCCCTGCATCGGCAGGCGGACTCTCAACCACTGCGCCACCAGAGAAGCCCGGGGACACGGATTTTTTGTCTCCTATACATACATAGAATAGTGCCTAGCACATACAGGCCTCAATAAATATTTGTTGAAAGAATGAAGGAAGAGAATCTTGGGAAGCAATACTATTATCCATGAAAAATAATCCATTATTCCAATGCAGCCTATGTATTTTAATTTGCCCTACTTACTTCCAAAACAGAAATTGCAGCAGCTCAGAATAAACGTATTAAAGGATTACAATCATTAAATTACTGACAGAAGATATAATACAAAAGAAAAATGGGGGGCTTCCCTGGTGGCGCAGTGGTTGAGAGTCCGCCTGCTGATGCAGGGGACACGGGTTCGTGCCCCGGTCTGGGAAGATCCCACATGCCGTGGAGCGGCTAATCCCATGAGCCATGGCCGCTGAGCCTGCGCGTCCGGAGCCTGTGCTCTGCAACGGGAGAGGCCACAACAGTGAGAGGCCCACGTACCGCAAAAAAAAAAAAAGAAAAAAAAAGAAAAAAGGGGGAGCACACGTTGGGGGCCATCTTAAACTAAAATTGCTATTTTTCTGTGTAGATTTTATAAAGTTGTAACCAATGCTAAATAGTTTTGAAAATATCTTTACTCAATGTTATAACGGCCAAGAATATTTTTATGTTGCTACATTTCTTACAGATTTATCATGTTGATATTATTACCTTAGAAATTCCTGTATTGTTGTATATTTAGTTTTTTTTGGTTTTCTACTTGTAGAAATAGCATTACAAAAAAAATTCATGAATATTTTCTTATTTTAGATAATTTTACTCATTTACGACTCTAAACTTGTATTTTTAAATTACTTTCCCAGGATTGTACCCTGACACTTTCCATTAATCCTGTAGGCTATACCAGCTCTCCAGCACCCTCATTCTGCAGTAAGTGCTAGAGTTTATTTACTAATTCACTGCTTTTTCCTTTCTTTTAAGAAAAACTTTCACAAGAGGAAATGTAGGAAAAAAACATAAAGGGCCGGGAAGATGGCGGAAGAGTAAGACGCGGAGATCACCTTCCTCCCCACATATACACCAGAAATACATCTACACGTGGAACAACTCCTACAGAACACCTACTGAACGCTGGCAGAAGACCTCACACCTCCCAAAAGGCAAGAAACCCCCCCACGTACCTGGGTAGGGCAAAAGAAAAAAGAATAAACAGAGACAAAAGGATAGGGACGGGACCTGTACCAGTGGGAGGGAGCAGAGAAGGAGGAAAGGTTTCCACACACTAGGAGCCCCTTCGCGGGCGGAGACTGCGGGTGGCGGAGGGGGGAGCTTCGGAGCCGTGGAGAAGAGCACAGCAACAGGGGTGCGGAGGGCAAAGCTCAGAGATGCCCGCACAGAGGATCGGTGCCGACTGGCACTCACCAGCCTGAGAGGCTTGTCTGCTCACCCTCCAGGGAGGGCGGGACTGGGAGTTGAGGCTCCGGCTTCGGTTGGAGCGCCGGGAGAGGACTGGGACTGGCGGCGCGAACACAGCCCGCAGGTTAGTGCGCCCCGGCTAACCGGCAGGGAGTCCGAGGTAAAGTCTGGAGCTGCTGAAGAGGCAAGAGACTTTTTCTTCCCTCTTTGTTTCCTGGTGCGCGAGGAGAGGGGATTAAGAGCGCTGCTTAAAGGAGCTCCAGAGGCGGGCGCAAGCCGCGGCTAAAAGCACGGGCCCCAGAGACGGGCATGAGACGCTAAGGATGCTGCTGCCGCCACCAAGAAGCCTGTGTGCGAGCACAGGTCACTATCCACACCCCCCTTACGGGGAGCCTGTGCAGCCCGCCACCGCCAGGGTCCCGGGATCCAGGGACAACTTCCCCGGGAGAACGCACGGCATGCCTCAGAGTGGTGCAGCGTCCCGCAGGCCTCTGCAGCCGCAGGCTCACCCCGCACTCCGTGCCCCTCCCTGCCCCCGGCCTGAGTGAGCCAGAGCCCCCGAGTCAGCGGCTCCTTTAACCCCGTCCTGTCTGACGGAAGAACAGACGCCCTCCTGCAACCTACACACAGAGGCGGGGCCAGATCCAAAGCTGAGCCCCTGGGAGCTGTGAGAACAAAGAAGAGAAAGGGAAATCTCTCCCAGCAGCCTCAGAAACAGTGGATTAAAGCTCCACAATCAACTTGACGTACCCTGCATCTGCGGAATACATGAATAGACAAAGAATTATCCCAAATTA